GGGGTGGTAATAGGCGTATTGTGTCCAAATTTCATGGTTCTCGGACAATCCGTTCCGGTGTCGTGGCGAAATTCCCCCTTTTTCCCCTTACGGAAGCCGTATCTGGATTTAGAAAAAATGAGAACGCCAGCCGACCTGGAGCCGTGCCAAGAACAAACGACTTGAAAGAATGCAGGTATCGCCTTGAAATTTTCAGGGCACCTAGGTACCAATGTGAAAAGTTTCTATCCGGAATTTGGTAGACATGGTAGCTTTGGTTCCAGCGTTGCGCATGCGCAAAGTCAAAAGCAGCTAAATATGTTTGTTATGAAGGGATTTTTTTACAAAATGGACCTATCTCTTCGAAACTTCGGCTAACCCCCCATTTCCGACCTTGGCACATCCAAATATTGTCTCCAAATTAAAATCGAACACCTAGTTCCATCTCTATTTTCTTGTTTTACTTTATGTACCCCCGGGAAAATGGCCCTAAAATTTCTTGTTTGGAATTGTGCTTGGGACCATAAGCCAGATACCCGGTGAGTTTCAAGTTGGTGTGCACGATAGTAGGGTTGTGACGCGCATGCGCGGGCCTACACTCGAAAACAACCTTGTCGGCACGGAAAACATCAAAGGCGAAATTCGAAATTTTTGAAATATTCAAATACCAAACATTCGACCCGTATCCCGGCTATCCTGAAATGTATTAATTTCAGAAATAGGAGACGTATTGAACATACTATGCCCTATTGTGTTTGTTTAGAAGACCGTAAATGTCGATTTTTCGCTATTTTTCATATTCACTTCAAAATGGCAGCCATCAGTTGACCTAAATCAAAATTCTGCTCTGAAAGTTTTTTAGGCATTCCTGCAGGGATTCAGAAAATATAACTCCCATGTCTGTAAGTGCAATATCGCAAAAGTTATTAGGACTTTTCACGTTTCAAGATGGTGGCATTTCCGGTTCGATCGACAAACTCCATATTTTGTATATGAATCAGTAATTACTTGTCTAGCATCGAAAAAAAAAATTAGGTCATTCTGACCTATATTTCGATGATTTTTTTTAATAATTTCATTAAGGGGAGATAATTTAGCAAATTTCTAATCATATTTTTGAAGTCGCATCGGTAAGATCTACTTACATACTAAATTTCATGAAAATTGTACAACTATTAAAGAAGTTGTCAAATTGGTCATAAATACCGGTTCGAAATCACAGCGACGAATTTTCGAAATTCGAAAATCTGAATCTGCAGATTTGAAGTAATTGTCTCAAGGTACTCAAAGAAAAAAGATTTAGTAAAATAGTTCAAATAGTCACAAAGTTACAGCATTGTAGGTCAAATGCATTCGTTCGTAAAATACGGTGATTTCGGATTCGTAAAACGTTTTGAAAATATATTTAATCAACCCATTTTTGGGGGGATAGGTAAAAGTTTCAGAAAGATCCTATGGTTAGATTCTGAGAAATCCGATTTGTGGACAAAACACAAAAAAAAAATAAAATAATAATAATAATAATCTTAACAGAAACAAAACTGCGATGCAGTAATGACGGGTTTCACCGGTACCACCTTACTCTTGAACTTTTGTCACTTTCGGTGCCAAGTTACCCTTGAACTTATGTCACTTCTGGTACCAATGAAACCGTTCAACATATTTCCACATAAGCATTGCACACGTGTTATAAAATGGACGCAGAAACAACCAAATCCAGCAATATTAATTCCATTTATACATTTGTTACCATGTGTTACATGTCAAAAAAGTGATCTTTACAAAATTTGTTACTAACTTACCTCTAAGTTAGCTGACTTTCTAATGGAAATTAAAATGCGTAATTTTTTTAAAGATAGGTTGCCAGGCACCGAAACATATGCACACAGCAGCTTAATTGTCAGAGCGGTCGACAAGGCTTGTCACATATTTATTCCTTTGTAGGTAATTGGGGGCCTTTACAAGACAGTTTCATACAGATCAGATTATAATTTTGTCGTTTGAGGGTTCACAAAGTTCTACAAACGGAAACAAGGGTCTTAACTCTGGAAGTAGTTTACAGAAATTGTTGAAATTTGACAGGCTTTTTCGTTTTACTAATTTAAATAATGCATATAAATTTCATACAGATAGGATGGTCACTTTTGTCATTCAAAAATTCACAAGGTTCACAAAGTAAAACAAGGACCATAACTCTAGAATTAATTATTGTAAATTGTTGAAATTCAGTAGGCTTTGTCGTTTCACTAATTTAAATAATGCATATAAATTTCACAAAGATTGGATGATAACTTTCGGCGTAATAGCGTTCACAAGGTTCAACAAAGTGAAACAAGGGTCATAACTCTAGATGCAATAAACAGAAATTATTGAAATTAACTAGGCTTCTTCATCTCACTAACGCATACTATATATATCAATTTTAAAACAATCGGATTAAAAATTTTGGAGTGAACGAACAGAGGGGTATAAAAATGAACCCGACAAAATTGGTAATTTCTCGACAAGGGAAGATGCTAGAAGCAATTCTGGACATATGATTGTATTCATCCAATCTGTATGTCCATTGGAATCCAATATCATAATGTTAATCGATTAATAAATATAACTCATTACAAAAAAATATTTGTTTTTGGAAGGCTAAAAATACAGTTTTTGCCAAAATGACATTACTTCCGGTAATAATGAAAATCTTAAATCAGTTCTATGAAATCATAAATGGCATTAGGCATCACATGGTGAAAATTTGATGAAAAGCGAAAAATAATTGACACTTTTATAGACTAAAAACCTTGAAAAGTGACTTGTAGAAAATCGTCTATTTCTCTGCAACTGTACAAGTTAGAAACCATTTAGTGGTATCTGTATGATGGTATTGGTTCGTTCTATTTGTTGATTGGAATAAAATATCATAATTTTATAAAACATTAAAAATCATTTGAGTAAAATAGCTGTTTTGAAGGCTAAAAATACAGTTTTTGCCCAAATGACGTCATTTCCGGTGACAGTGAAAATATTAAATTGGTTTGACTTGGTCCAAATTGGCATTAGGCATCAAATGGTAAAAAAAATATAAAAAGATAGGTTGCCAGGCAACGAAACATACGCCCACAGCAACTAAATCGTCCGGGCAGTCAACAAGGGTTGTCGCATATTTTTCCTTTTTTCGGTAATGAAACCTTTATAATACATTAAAATCTGATTAAGAGCAACAACTCACGAAGTAATTATCAGAAAACTATTAGAATTTGTTTGGTTTTTATAAAGTTCTGCCCCATGCCAACGTTTTGTATGCAAAGCTTTTAATATCATGGATTTAACTGTTCAAGTCATAAAAATTCATTGAAAATCAATATACTTGTTCGTCTCAAGATCTTAAACTCTGTGTATCAATCTGAAGTCAATCGGATGATAACTTAAGGGCCATAACTTTGGCAGTAATTATCGGAAATCATTGAAAATCAATAGGAATCTTCGTCTCATGACCTCAAACACTGTGTATAAATTTAAACTCAATCGGATATTAACTTTAGCCTCTAGAGCATCCACAAGATTTTTTGAAGTGATCAAGGGCCATAACTCTGGCAGTAATTATCGGAAATCGCTGAAAATCAATAGGCTTCTTCGTCTCATGACCTTAAACACTGTGTATAAATTGAAAGTCAATCGGATATTAACTTTGGCCTCTAGAGCATCCACAAGATTTTTCAAAGTGATCAAGGGCCATAACTCTGGCAGCAAATATTGAAAATCGCTGAAAATCAAAGGCTTCTTCGTCTCATGACCTTAAACACTGTGTATAAATTTAAAGTCAATCAAATATTAACTTTCGCTTCTAGAGCATCCACAAGATTTTTCAGAGTGATCAAGGGCCATAACTCTGGCAGTAATTATCAGAAATCGCTGAAAACCAATAGGCTTCATCATCTTATGACCTTAAACACTGTGTATAAATTTAATGTCAATCGGATGTTAACTTTAGCCTCTAGAGCATCCACAAGATTTTTTGAAGTGATCAAGGGCCATAACTCTGACAGTAATTATCGGAAATCGTTGAAAATCCATAGGTGTCTTCGTCTCATGACCTTAAACATTGCGTATAAATTTAAAGTCAATTGGATATTAACTTTGGCCATTAGAGCATCCACAAGATTTTTTTAAGTGATCAAGGGCCATTACTCTGGTAGTAATTATCGGAAATCGCTGAAAATCAATAGGCTTCTTCGTCTCATGACCTTAAACACTGTGTATAAATTTAAAGTCAATCGGATATTAACTTTGGCCTTTAGCGCGTCCACAAGATTTTTTGAAGTGGTCAAGGGCCATAACTCTGGCAGCAATTATCGGAAATCGTTGAAAATCAATAGGCTTCTTCGTCTCATGACCTCAAACACTGTGTATAAATTTAAGGTCAATTGGATATTAACTTTGGCCTCTAGAGCATCCACAACATTTTTCAAAGTGATCAAGGGACATAACTCTGGCAGTAATTATCGGAAATCGCTGAAAATCAATAGGCTTTTTCGTCTCAAGACCTTAAACACTGTGTATAAATTCAAAGTCAATCAGATATTAACTTTAGCCTCTAGAGCGTCCACAAGCAATTGTGGACGCCGGACCACCGGACCGACCACATTTCAATGTGGGCGTATAAAAATCGAATGAAAATAGACTCTTTTACAGGCAAAACCAGTGGCTGCCAGGCAGGATATGCCCACATTTTCTAGAGATGGATAGAGAACAAGCTAAAACGAAAGTGATTTTTCCTACAATCAAGGGCCATAATTAGGAAATTACAATTCGATATGCGCAAATATCGAAAGGAACCCAGATCTTTTGGTTATAAACTTACATTTCAAGTTTCAACAAAAACGAATAAAAATTGTGACCTCGACAGTGTTCACAAGCCAAAAAAGTGATTTTTCGTACAAACTAATTATTTAAAAATTTAAAACAATAATTTTTGTGTTATTGGGCTTACTTGTTGGGTTCTCTGTAATAATACAAATGGTCACCTACCTCCTCAAAGTTCCCTTCTAATGGTTTATATGCCAGTAGTAATATAGACCGCATTAGATCCCCAACCAAAACAAAATCACCTTTTGTTTTTAAATATAAAGCTATGATATTATTAAAGTGGCTACATTCTAATCTCAATTCTTTCTCTGGTGTCCACTCAAATAGTCGTACCTAAAAATAAACACAGATATATATATTGAAGTATGTTGAAATATTCTGTGTTTTGATTTGGTTTCTCCTTGGACACATATGAACAATCCCACAAACTCTTTAAATAATACATTGAGAACACTTAGTAAGTCGTATCTGGGTAATCTTCTTCTCCGTTTAAAATCCTGGAAAAGCACTTTCCCGAACACAATTGAGGTTAATATTCACATCTAAAATACCCTTTGATAAAAATCCTACAAATTCTGATTCAGAATCACTTTCCATAGCAAAAAAATTATTAAAAGTGTGAGCGCTGGGATATTACAATTCGACGAGGAGTGGCTGCCAATTTTGGTATGCCATATATCTTCTTCTCTGCTGTTTCAAATTTCGGAAAAATCACTTCCCCCAGAACATTTGTCATTACTGAGATTAATATTCACATGTAAATATCCTTTGATAAAATTCCTTCAAATTCTGAATCGGAATCGCTTTCCATAGCGAAGAAATTATTGGATGAACGCGCGTGAGAATATTAAACTTGCGTACAAAATGGCGCCCTATGATACAAATTTTCTCGCGAGTTCACAAACTTATAACCCCTGAACCATTGATGTGACATATAGATTTTATGATTTCAATCATTAGTTCACGCTATACGCTTATTGGATAACTACTTTTGGAAAGCCGATCGTCTTTTTTTATAACTTTATTGATCAATAAAACAGTACATCAAAAAGGCCGGCAGCAGCTGTTGATGGGCGGGCAAATTGTCTCTCGAGTTTACAACCTTTATAACTCCTAAACCTTTGATGTAAAGACTTACAAATTTTATGATTCCAGTAATTAGTTCAAACTATATATTTATTGGATAACTACTTTTGGGAAGCCAATTGGCCTTTTTTGATAACTTTCTTGATCAACAAAACTTTACATCAAAGAAGCCAACAACAGTTGTCGTTAGGAAAAGTGACTAGACATTAGGTAGTAGACAGGTGGTGTAAGCCGGTGAAATTCAGTAGCTAATTAGGTCGACGCCTGGCGAAAGTAGGACCGAATGAGTTAAGTGTTAATAGGTGAACTTGCCATCCTAAAATGTTGAAATTCGAACTGAGGTAACAGTGTAATACAATCTTATTAAAATACAGATCTTTATTTCGTTTTTTTTTTTATACTTTCGATGGCCTATACTACATGAAGATCTGACTGGTTGTAGCGATAGGTCGCATCAGAGGTCATACAAGCGGCTTTTGACCTTATGACGTCAGACATCTGATTAACCAATCAGCATTGATGTCTTGTTTTTTTATAAACAATATTTTTATTCAGGATGTCTGAATGGGATTGGGAAACAGGCTTAGCCTATGTAAAATCCCTCTCCATTGATGTTACTAGTGGATTACCCACAGTTCCATGCAAAAAAAAACGCCTAAAGCTCGCCGTAACATCATTCAGAACACGCCAATATAGTGTAGTAAAGACATGTAAAACGAAATTTTGAACTATAAAAACAAAACGAAATAAGATCTGTGTTTTAATCAGATTGCAGTATAATGTCCACATGAAAATATGGATGATTAAAAATCAAAAGAACCCATAAATAATTGTAGTCTTTAAGAGTAAGGCCAAGCTAAATGTGAACGGATCTACAGGGGATTACAATATATGCCAATATTACGAGTGGGTGTATAAAAAGGTTAAAATCGAAAAATTGTTGATTTTCTTACAGCATGAGCAATGTAGCTGTGAGACCTACTTAAATATTCCAGAGTAGGAGTAAATTCAAAAATATTAAATAGTGAATACTTACCGTACTATTTACACTGGCTAATAATTTACCATTAAATTCTACTAATGTATAAGCTGCACCTTTTATTTCTTTCTCTGCTATCTGTGTTAACTTTCCTAATAGAAACATAAATAAGGGTCATGACTTGTATTAGTGATAACCAACCATTGGTAAAGCTATTGACAGATATATTCCTACAGGTAGGATGGTCGATGTTAAAATTGAATAATTGATCTGAATCATAATTTAGGCACCATGATGTAGTAATTATCAAATAGTTAATAAACCATACCTTCCAGGCTATACATACTACACACCACAATATTTGACTAGAGATACAGACATTTATCATCTCCAAAATATATGGCTGAGCAATGTGATCTCAATTAGATATTGTCTGAACAATGTAAATAATGATTAGTCGTTTTAAAATTAATTTAGATTGGAATTTTTCTGTTGCATACAATGTTATTTTGGATATAAAATTAAATACGTTTCTCTGTATCACCTTCAGAATATTGAAAGACAACGATTCTGCCTTGTTTAGGTTCAGCTTCCTCAGGATGAACCAAAGCTGTTCCAACAATATAATAATAATTAGGATTATCACCTAATTTAGCTGATATTAAACTTGTAGCACATTCATTAGTTCTTAACTGATGAGCATGTAATACTGAAATATGGCAAAATTATATACAGCATTAAAGGCAAATAGAACATATTATATTTAAATGGTAGAGAGTATATATTTAGGTGAAAATTTTATTTACCAGGTAGTTGATAATTGGACGGACAAAAATAGTGTTTTATTGTGAGAAATAATCTATATTTTGAAGGTAAACTTAATTTTGGGCAGAAAACGTTCTAGCTCATAATACTAGGGATTTGGTATCGTTTAGAACTGGGTTTTTAGCGTTGGAAAGTATGCATAGCGTTTACTTCCAAAACATTGTTCGTTAATTGATACCAGCGGCTGCCAGGCAGAATACGCCCACATTTTCGAGAGATGGATAGAGAACAAGCTAAAAAGAAAGTGATTTTTCCTACAATCAACGGCCATAATTCAGGAAATTACAATTCGATAGGCGCAAATATCGAAAAGAACTGAAATCTCTGGGTTATAAACTTACATTTCAAGTTTCAACAAAATCGGATAAAAATTGTGACCTCTATAGGGTCCACAACCTTGATATACCATATTTTTTAAACTATTAGAGAATGAGGGGTGGCCATTTTGTCTGTCAGTTTTAGGCCGATTTTCACGAAATTCGAACTTAGCCGTCCTTAGGATGTAACGGTGATATAATAATACGTTTTTTTAAATTGGATAAAAATTATGACCTCTATAGGGTCCACAAGCTAAAAACGCGATTTTTCGTACAATCAGGGGTCATAATTCAGGAAGTTACGGTCCAATATGCGCGAATATCGAAAGGAACCGAGATCTTTGGGTTATAAACTTACATTTCAAGTTTCAACAAAATCAGATAAAAATTGTGACCTCTATAGGGTCCACAAGCCAAAAACATGATTTTTCGTACAAACAGGGGCCATAATCCATGAAGTTTCGATCCGATACATGCCAATATCGAAAGCAGTCGAGATCTTTTAGAGATACACCTATATTTCAAGTTTCGTTAAAATCGGATAAGAATTGTGTCCTGTAGAGTGTCCACAAACAAATTGTGGAAGGACAGGGGCGACGGCATAATACGTCCACATGAAAATGTGGGCGTATAAAAAATCGTTTAAGAATTACATAAATGGGTTAGTTAGAACTATGGCTTAGTTTAATGGTGACAGGTTTAGTTTCTCCTAGAGGCGTTTAAAAATGGCCGACCCGTTCACTTATTAGACGAGCCGTCTGCTTTCCGAGATACGTTGAAAAAACAACAAAGTGTTTACTTATCTACGGCCTTTACTTATTAGACGCTGGCTCGCTAGCCTGGAGGTCGGGTGTTCGATCCCTGCATTGGCCGAGAAAGTTCATCCAGATTTTCCGACGTGGTTTCCCCTTGTCAGTGGTGCAGACCGTAGGGCCTGACAAGGACCGCTGTCTAGTCCTTCGGATGATACGAAAAACCGAGGTCCCGTGTATATATTGGAATGCAAGTAAAAGATCCCCTGGCAGTTGGAATTCGATATAAGAGTAGGCGATAGTGCCGCTGCCCGGGCAAAATTTCCCTCATAGCACACTGTATGGCGTATGCCCGTCTTCATTAGCCCAGTATAGGAGCAGAACAGCAGGACGTTAAACCCCATTTCATTTCATTTCATTTATATTCCAAATAACAACCGGCTGACCAAAACGTAAATAGCTCATAATACCGTGTATACACAGGCCTTTTCTGTAATTAATGTGTATGGGAATATAGATTAAGGGGAGATTAGTGACTAATATGATAATTGTCTGCGATATAACCTCGGTGTAAGCGGGTGTTAAATAAAGCTATTTCACACATAATATGATAATCGTAGATAAAAGACGACTTTCACAACATAAAAGTTGCGTTTATTTTTTATACTAAAATAACTCTGGCTTAGTTTGGCTTGGCTCTGAATTTTGATTGAGTGGAAGATTTTTAAAGACACAGATTTTTATTAACAATTTTAACAGACTGTGGTATAGGATTTAAATGGTTCATTTACATTATCAATACATACAATTTGCTTTTTGTTTTATTAAATTATATATAAATCCGTTGATTATTTTCCAATTTTTATATATTGCGTCGCCCCCGTCTGTCCGTCAGACGGTCCGGCGTCCACAATTGCTTGTGGACATTCTAGAGGCTAAAGTTAATATCCGATTGATTTTAAATTTATATACAGTGTTTAAGGCCATGAGACGAAGAAGTCTATTGATTTTCAGCGATTTTCGATAATTACTGCCGGAGTTATGGCCCTTGATCACTTTGAAAAATCTTGTGGACGCCCTAGAGGCTAAGGTTAATATCCGATTGACTTTAAATTTATACACAGTGTTTAAGGTCATGAGACGAATAAGTCTATTCATTTTCAGCGATTTTTGATAATTACTGCCGAAGTTATGGCCCTTGATCACTTTGAAAATTCTTGTGACGCTCTAGAGGCTAAAGTTATCATCCGATTGACTTCAGATTGATACACAGAGTTTAAGGTCTTGAGACAAACAAGTATATTGATTTTCAATGAATTTTTATGACTTGAACAGCTAAATCCATGGTATTAAAAACCAAACAAATTCTAATGGTTTTCTGATAATTACTTCATGAGTGTATTATAAATGTTTCATTACCGAAAGAAGTAAAAATATGCGACAACACTTGTTGACTGCCCGGACGATTTAGCTGCTGTGGGCGTATGTTTCGTTGCCTGGCAACCTATCTTTAGAATTTGGCCCCAGGTTCATGACCGATTTATAACTATCCTCGTCCATGTATGGTCGCCGACGATTAGTGCTGGGTATCGATAGTCCTATGTATGTGTAGGAACCAAAATAAAATGAACATGAGTCGATTCAAAACATTGCGTACGTGAGCGCGACAAATACCAATATGGCCGACAATTCTTTGTCGATTTACGTGCCAAAAGTAGAAAAAATTTAATAAAGAGCTTGTTATCACGAATTAGTAAAATGTTTATTATCATTAAAATAATGTAGCCTTGATTCTGAATGTAGAAATACAAGTGTTTTGTCATCAATGAGTGCTATGTCATTTGTACTTTATTATAATAATGAGCAGACGAATTCTGAAAGGGGGAAAAACTCTGAATTATTTACACATCCGGGTATCTCCGATTTGGCAAATTCCACGACATGGCAATTATTGTTTCAAACTCAAAGTATGGTTTGAATGATGGCGAATTGATTTTAACATTTTTTTTTAAATGCAACATTGAGACTTTGAAGTAAATAAAGTGACCGATGTACTGATGTAGGCTATTGTATTATTATATATACGAAGGATTAACGCACAGAAAACATTGAGTTGACTCCTCCACCTACCTACGCACGCACAAAAAATGGAGAACAATATTCAATACTATCGATTTATATCCATGTTTTACTCAGCTCTACAGATGATATAGGAATAATTTCAACTTTCAATAGAGCTACATGCCGATTTTTTTATATTTTTCAGAATAAAAAATCATACTAAAAACGGTACGATAAGAGTTTTAATTCCCCCCACCCCCTCGCCCACCCATCCAACTGTAAACATATAAAGATGCATTATTTGTGTAAAAATAAAAAAGTTGGCCTTCGATCGAAAAAATGAATTTCGAGCCTTGTACACAATATCCACCATAATTTGCATATATGAAGCAATTGATACTTTTATAAAAGTTTGGCTGATGTATGTTTAAAGTCTATTTTTTTTTTTTTGTATTATAGTTAGTAACATGTTCTGGATCACATAAAGAAGGTTCTCTACGTATAATAAGAAATGGTATTGGTATACATGAACATGCCAACATAGATTTAGCTGGTACTAAAGGTACACAACTGATACTTATTTTGTTTTATCCTCAATGTCAGTGATTTTACTAAAGAAAACAATAAGTATGTGACTAACAGTAGGTGTCACAGCTCCATTGCTCGCGTTGGAAGAAAGTCTTTTTTTCACGATTTGTAACCTCTTTTAAACTTAACGTCATACACTGGCTATTTAATCTTTTGTAATAATTTTAAAATATTTTGGAAGCAGATATCCTGTTCTTTTGTTTGATATAATTCTTATGTATGTGTTCATTTTATCAATTTCATAAACGTAAGTTGAAAAACGTCAATTTCCTGTGTTTTGACGTTACGCTGAAAAATTTTGTCACGTTTTTAAATGAGGGTACCCCACTTCAAGTGCTCGACGGGGACACTTATTATTAATATTATTTTTTCATTCTAATATCATTAGAAAGATAAATGAACGATCTTTTGATCGGTCCAGGGTGCTTTGTTAGCATTTTGAAATATCAGGCATTTTTTTTAAGTTGAACACTTCAATTCACGAAATCTTTTTTGGAGGCGATTTGTCAATATAGCCCCCCCGACCGATCGAAAGTTCGTTTTATTGTCGTTTCGATGCTATTAAAATCAACAAAATCGGAGCATGGTAAGTGTCCCCGCTGAGGACTTGAAAATGGTATACAGCGTGATTTTTTCAGAATAGAAAATCCGCAATGGTGCGAGTTTTGTGACGTCATGACGTCGGCTGACATAGCCAGCAAGGTCACAGAGAAAGGGTATGGTTGAGACGAGGAAACTGCATTGACATAAATGCTACGTTGTACCATGGACCTTATATAATATTATAAGGCCATGGTTGTACACAAGAGAGCTTGATATGCATTAATGCAAATAAAGGACTTGCCTGCAAATAAGTTATTCCAGGTTTATCCTAATCCATATTACTAAATGCATTGCGAGAGACAATGCAACAAATACTACAGTCGTCTCGAAAATAAACCAATCACAATTATCTTTACAAAAACAACCTCCAATAAAAAATCCCGTACAATCAATAGGCCTAGACCATGCGAATGCTTTATAAATTTTAATTATTTTAGATCTGGTGAATAAAATTAGTAATTTCCCACGTTTGTTATTTCTAGTGAGCCTAAAAATATAAAATTGTGATGCACAAGTGTCGAAATGAGTGGA